CGAAAAATCTGATTTACTTAACAAACTCATGTCATTGGAAGGTAAAATACTTGTCGGCGGTGAAAATTTACTCGAAAAAGCACATACGCAAGAACAACTTTTAGAGCAATCCCTAGCCGAATTGGAAGAGCGTGAAAAAGCTGAGCAAACTTTGCGTGCAACATTACAACAAAAAGAAACCGAACGTATTGATATTGAAGAACGTTACTCATCTCTGCAGGATGCTAGTACTGGTATTACGAAGAAAATACACAGGGTCATGCAAATGCTCATGGGTGTCAAGTCTGAATTAGCCGATCAACAACAAGAACATCAACGCGAAAAGGAAGGTGTCTATGAAAATATACGTAGCTTATCTCGTGAACTAGCACTATGTGAACTCGTTTTAAATTCCTACATACCAAAGGAATACCAGTCAATGATAAATCAATACACACACTGGAACGAAGACATTGGCGAGTGGCAGTTGAAATGTGTTGCCTATACTGGCAACAATATGCGGAAGCATATCGCAGACTCCAAGAACAATAATAAAGAACCCGACTTTGTTGACCTATCTCATGTCTATCTCAGCTATAATACAGACAGTGTTACTAACCCAGTTCGCGCAAAGTCAGCACGTCCACGCACATCGGGCGTACCTCGTCCGACGACCGCTACTAGGCGTTATTGAGCATTGCAGATAATTTTTGATTTCGTTATTTTAAGTAATCAACTTTTTCGAAAGCAAATATGGATGATTTTAATCTTATTTTTAAGTTATTATATATGCTAATTTTTAAAAGAATGCTATTTCCGCCTTAACCAAAGTGATTTGAATTAATTTTTTTATTGTTATTATTGTTGTTAATTTTGAATATAATTTTAAGAAATACTCAAATTATTTATTTAACTATCACAAATGTTAAAGCCATAATTATGACCGTTCCATAATGCATTTACGGATAATTTATTAATATTAATGTTATTAAATTTAAGTTAATTTTTCTGATTTGTATTTACTTGACAAAGTGCAATATTAATTTTAATTAGTTATTTATGTTTTAAATCAAATATCTATATTGACAAAATATTTATATAAATCTCTTACATATTTTATAAGAATAAAAGCACAATATGTACTTTACATTTTTACTGCAAATAAATATATGACAAATATTTTTAAAGAAATTTGGAATTAATTATTTTGAAATTATTATTTCAAATTAAGAATTGTGGGAGGCTTAAAATACTTCTATATAATTTAATGAAGCCTCTTGTTAGTCTCTAATTAGTTATACTCTGCTCTATGCTTTATATAGGAACAACAAATTTTAGTAATGTCACAACAATAAAAATGGCTAGAAAATTAGTAACATTAATTCACTATAAATCTGTTTAATAAATATATCTATAATCCCCACATAAGTTAATTATTTCAAATAATGCATTGATTATATAAACCTATAAATCACTAAATATAAGTACAATTATATATGTATTTGTATTGTTATAAGCAAATAGAAGATAATCTATAAAGTAGAGACATAAATAGAAGTGAGTACTATTAAATTGGATGTAGGGAATGAATGGTCTTAAAACTGGAAAAGACGCTAATGTGAAATGAAGACTTTTAAACACTAGTTGAACCTGGATTCCACTAAAGTTGATTTTGTTGTGTCAATATATTTATGGTCAAAAAAAAAAAATCAAGAAAACTGATGAAGAAAGTGGGTACAACTGACTATGGGACTATTTGGATGTCACTATGCTTAGTTTACAGGGAGGAATTGTAACCTGTTAAGCATTTTCCTGCGAAACTGTGGAAAAGTACATTATCTTGTTAAGAAGATTTATCGATAATGATTCTTATTACTTCCGTTAAAGTAGGTTTCAATACATTCTTAATGGAGTTAAAGAATCGAAGGATCTAATGTAGAAATAGGATTATATTACCTCTAGTACTATTTAGCTGACCATCTTTGTTGTAAAGGAACGATGAATTGCTTGAACAGTAGATAATTATGGTTTTTGATCGAAACAATATGGACTCCGCATAAAAAAATGAACATTTGACTTGGGATGAAAATCGGTTAAAGTGCTGATTGTCTAATTCTGACAAATATTATTCTAATGCAACCATAGTGCAGTCGCACAGAACGTAATAGGTCATCGCATAAGTTTATATATGTTTAGGAAGGTTTCCTCATCAATATTCCAAGTATTACCGGTTATACTTTTACCATAGTATTGCAACTCATCAACTTTCTAATTACACAATAGCATGTTTGGAGGAAGTTGACATAATATCAATAACAAAATCAAGGAGCTTTGGTTTGGTGATGATGGCGATCTTAAATTCTTCGATTATGATAAAAAAAACATAGAAATATTTTAATACCTGTAGTAAAGAGCTTGGCAGAAAATGTTGTATATGATAAATAAAAATTTCTATAATCTCTCTCTCTAAGAGTCAGATCATCTTGGGGTGGTATATATTAATTTTATCGTACAATTGGCATATGTTATGACTGTGACTACTTCAAAAAAAATGGCGATCTTGAATTCTTCGATTATGATGGAAAAATTCATAGAAATCTTTTCAAAACCTGTAGTAAAGAGTTTGGCAGAAAATGTTGTATATGATAAATAAAAATGTCTATAATCTCTCTCTCTAAGAATCAGATCATCTTGGAGTGGTATATATTAATTTTATCGTACAATTGGCATATGTTATGACTAGGACTACTCCAAAGATACCTTGACTTTTGTAAAACCAACGGATTATATTATACCTACTATGACGTTATAAAATCACTATTTTATAGAGTTTTAGTGTTTGAATCATGGAAATAGTATGGGATTATATATTTTATTTTATTTTTTTATATTATATATATCTGTTTTAGAAGTAATATATTTTCATTAATTTCTTTTTTATATTATTTGTTTTAAAACAATTTAATTAGTCAATTTTTTGTATTTTTTCTTAGAAGCAAAGGGAAATTCATAGAGCCATATAAGTTAAATAGAAAAAGAGAGTTAAGAAAAGTCTCGCGAGTAATACCATACATTATATTTATAGCTTTCGATATGAACGAAAATATTCGAGTTTCACTAGAAAATGAAACTCGATACAAAACTTTATTGTGGTATAAACTAAAAAACTTAAAATCTTTTCTAATATACAGTATATTGTAGTCAAGTCTGCATTTTTATGGACAATATGGTTTTGAAGATCAATAAATAAACATTTTTAGTAAAAATTATTCGCTTTGTCATGATTGTTTAAACTTTTTATTCTATTTATATGATTAGCAAATAGCAGGGATGTTTACCGGTTTTAAAGCGGAGCTTTTTTGTGGTGTTAAACCAAACCATTGAGACTAATTTTTGGTTTAAACTATTAAAACCTGCGATATTTTGAACCAAGCTAAGGATTAAAATAACTGAATTAACGTTTTTAATCCAAACTAAAGGTTCAGATTATTGAACAAAAGTTTTTGAACAAAACAGATAGTTAAACATTTAGAACCACTGAACCACTGAGACTTGATTGATTTATGTGATTCACAACTATTGTAAATAATATCAGAAAGGATAAAGAACTTATTATGTAGTGATTATATCACTCCAAACTATTATCTTAGGAACTATCCAAATTTTTATTTAATTAGTTTATAGTAGGTATATAATTTTTTGAACTGTAAATGCCAGGTTTAGAACTCATGTCTGTCAAATTAAAAACGATGATTAATCATATTATGCCACAACTAGCCAAGGCTGCATAAACTTTTAATAAGTTCCAAGTTTTTCGTCACTTTATTTGTAAGTGACACTAACCAACACACTTCCCATGCATTCCATGCGAGTTTATAAACTATAGCTTCATTTGGAAACACATTTCATTTTTATTTATATTAATTTGTGTTTATTTTAATTTGATTTGCAATAAAACTTTCATACATGCCTCATCGTCTTAGTGAATGTAAATTATTTACTTTTATGACTAGGTAATAAAATGGGTCTCATAACTCTGATGTCGTCGACGTCCAGAATTGTTTTAGCTTCGCCACTGTGTTTACCATCCCTCAAAGAGATTTTACAAACTGATCCCAGCGGGTTATAACAACAAATAAAAAGTTTAACACATTCTGCTTTTGGACAAAAACAATTATCCAGCTTGATTTACTACTACTAATGTAGCCAATCTATCAATAACATGGACTATTTTTTTTTATTTTATTATAATTAATTACATTATATAAAATCTTATAACTAAGATAGAAAAACCGAGCACTAGCTACCAGGGTATTCGGGTCGAAAATGGACTAAAATGTTTACTTTTAATATAAATTATGTTTGATTTAAAAATAAGTTACAGCCAATATGATTTATTAATTAAAAATATTTAATTACAATATCAATATAATACCCAGAGAATAAAAATACCCAGAGTCTGAAAAAAATATTCAGTTAAAGACAAATCAGAAACGCATTTTTCATTACTAAAATTTAGTACAAATATATATTTTTGTAGAACTCAAATCATGATAACATACGTCGGCTTAGCAGTTCAAAATAATAATGCAGTTGTGCTGAGGTGGCAGTGGTGTATTTCTGTTACACCGCCCATGTTAATTCACCACTCTGTCAGTATGATTCTTTTAACTGTATGCGTCAGACTCTATAGAAAAATGGTTAATAATTTTTTAGAATAAATTTATTTACTCAATTCATTTTATATAAAGAATATTTCTTTATATTTTTCTTATATTTAATAGATTTTATTGTTGCTCTATAACTTCATTTTATTTTATTTAATGTTTTTAACAACCCTGTGCACTTCTCTTTTGCGCTGTTTGGCATTTGTTGCGTTGTTCATTACATCTCAGTTCATTCTGTTTCGCGTACGTACAGTGTAGGTAGAAAAGGTAAAATAAGTTCTGTATTCATATTATTTTCTTTGATAAAAATTAAATTTATTGAATAAAATATTTCTAAAATAAATGTGTATTATTTTTAAAATTACTTTGTATTATAAGTGCTGTAAGAATTTTGTATAAAACTAGCAATTATAAACGGCTTAGTAAATCTTATTGATGGTAGGGCTGCTAAGTATTTTCCGAAGAAACCACACAAATATAAAAATTTTCAAGCAGCTCCGTCAGCGACATTATTTCAAAAATATGGACTCTGAACTGCTTAAGCCACCACACCATGTGTATGGCATGCAAACGCTAGAACGTGAAGCGTTTCGAAAGGAAGTACAGATACCACGATTGCGTGTTCCGGAAGAGCAGCTACATAAGGTGCTACCATTAGTAAAGAATGTGTTATTAAAAATGGAGCAATTACGTCCGGTGCAGAATTTGCTTAATGAATCTAAAGATAATAACAATTTGTTTAAAGAAATTTTATTGCATCCATTACCAGTGAAATCATGGGATTCCCTGCCAATTGAACAGCTTGAAGAAAATCAAATCACTTCCAGTGATTTCTATTTCAAAGAATTAGAATTGAACTACAAAAATTGGCGTGCTGATGAAATATTAAAGTGTGTCCTACCAACTAATGAAGACGGCCTAACCTCGTACTCACGCATTGGTCATATTGTGCATATAAATCTTCGTGAGCATTTATTGCCATATAAAAAGTTAATAGGTGAAGTTTTATGTGACAAAGTACCCAATTGTCGCACAGTTGTGAACAAAGCAGCGACCATTGATAATACATACCGAAATTTTGCCTTCGAGTTAATTTCTGGCGTTCCAGAATATCAAGTGGAAACCAAAGAGAATGGTATTACTTTCGAATTTGACTTTTCCAATGTTTACTGGAATCCAAGATTATGTACTGAGCATGAACGTATAGTCCAACTATTAAAATCTGGTGATGTGCTATATGATGTCTTTGCTGGTGTGGGTCCTTTTAGTGTGCCAGCAGCAAAAAAGCGTTGCATTGTATTGGCTAATGATCTCAATCCAGAAAGTTATCGTTGGTTGCAAAATAATATGAAAAGAAATAAATGCACGAATCAAGCAAAATTGTATAATAAAGATGGGCGTGACTTTATCTTAGAAGATATTAAAGCAGATTTGCTTAAACGATGGTTAGAAGTGGATTCGAATTCTCCGTCAGATACTGCTATACATATCACAATGAATCTACCCGCTATGGCTGTAGAGTTTCTAGATGCTTTTAGAGGTTTATTCGCTGCGGAAGCAACAGATTTGAACTTTACAAATAAAACTTATAATTATCCTACTGTTCATGTATATACTTTCACTAAAGGTGAAGATACAAAAAGTTTAGTAAAACCACTAGTTGAGCAACATTTAGGTTTAAGCCTTGACAATAACTCATTGGATATACATTTTGTACGCAATGTAGCTCCTAATAAAGATATGTATCGTGCCTCATTTCGTTTAACGCCAGAGATGCTTACAAAGTCTTTAACAGAGTTGGACACTGAATCCAATAATGCACTTCTTAATAGTCGTAAACGTGCTGCTTCGGATGGCACAACAGAGCTAAACACTTCCCTACAAACTGCTAAAGTAAAATGCAGTTAGCAAATAATGTTAAATTATTTAAAACTTTAAACTAAATAAATATAAATAATTTATTTTATATTAAAACCAAAGAGTATTTTAATTA